TCTCAGGTAATAATATCACGGGAAAGTTTCCAAAAAAGGGTCCAATAGCAGTTTTTTCATAGTGATACCACAGGACTGGATGTGATACACAGATAAGTACATATACGTACACAAACATAAAACTGCCTACAATACATACATGCATACATATATACATACATTACATACATATATACATACATATGTACATACATATACACATACATACATACATACATACACATATGTACACATATATATATATATGTATATATATATGCATATGTATATATATACATATGTATATATATATATATATACGTCCAGGAATATATCAACTTTAAGAAATACAGTGCAATATGTTACCTTAGCAGTTTCTTCGGACTCGGCGAAGTTGACCTGCTGCAGCTGACCTTCATACGTTGTGTTAATTAATTGCAAAAACGACTCAAGCAAATCCAGGCCATCGCGGATGAAGAGTTTATTCGCAACACTCAGCTCATATGCTTCGTCACCATCCGATAATTTGGACAGCAGCTCACCGAAGTGCCTGTTGATTTCGTCAAATGTTGCTCCTAAAAAATTATATAGTATTGCTTCATACACTAAACAGAAGAATAACAAACATTAATGACGTTTTAACAGAAAGCGAGCCAGGTACGAAAAAAATAAGGGAACGGATTTAGAAGAGATAATCATACCATTATCCGGATTTTGAAAAAAATGGGAAAATAACACATATTGTAAAGATTCAACGATGAAGGAGGATAACACTGCCCGGTTTTAGGACATAAAAAAACCAAGCCAATAACAGGGAATAAAAGTGTCAAAAAATTTTTACATGTAGGACCGTCAAAAAATTTTTTGAAGAAAATTTTGAGGAAATTTTGATGGATGAGAAGGGCATTTAAAAAATTTTTCGAAGGAAAATTTGTTTTTTCATTTGCACATAAGTGCAAAAAGATTGTTGGAAATATGATAAAATCAGTCAAAAGAAGAAGCCATGAAAAGCTCCACGTTCACTTCCTATGGGATTCAGGCTTGCAGCTCAGGACTGGAAGGCCTGGCACAGTTGCTTTCAGGTTGTGCGGGCATGCCACTAACATCACTAACGTGACCCGTGGCGATTTTACATTCCGAATTCATTGCAAGACATAAGCGGAAACCAGTTTGATTTCTGG